GCTCGAACCGGGTCGGTACCGCGACCTCACAGAATACCAGCGTGAAGTAGAGGTTTACCTCTGCGTTGCGCTTGGTAGTGTAGGTGGCCGGACGCCCAATTCCCCCCCCCCCCCCCCCCCAACAACATAGTAGCGGAATTAAACAAAAGACTACCCCCAGGAGGGTACCAGCACCCCTGAAGAATCCCTCACTGAGCATCTACGCCCAAACTACTCCACTCCAGTGTAGGTGCTCAGGCTGCCCCGCGTATTCTTGGGGGGGGGGGGGGGGACGACGAAATTCCCTGTCACGCTATCCGTGCAACATCAGGGGACTTAATTCCAACCTTAACGCTGTCCGTTACCATCTAGAGACAGCGAAGCCGGCCTTGCTCTTTTTAACCGAGACTCAGGTGTCCTCTCCGACTGATACTTATATCTCTCCTATATTAGAACACTCCTTTGTGCCCCAGGCTGGAGTTAGCGTATACGTCAGTGAAGACATCTGTTTTCGACGCCTCGGCAGTCTTGAAGGTAAGGACCTGTCTATTCTATGGCTGCGCGTAGACAGCGAAGACCATCCCCGCGTCTACAGGTACCTCTATAGGTCCCATAACGGTAATGCTAACACAGACCGACTCATCGTCCACTTCCAAATGGTTGCAAATTCCGTGCTACAACAGGTCCCATCCGCAGAAATAGTGATACTCGGTAATTTTAACGACCACCACGCTGAATGGCTTGGTTCTCGTTTAACCGATCATGTGGGTAGATCTGTCTATGACTGCCTTGGAATATGGTCTAACACAACTGGTTACTTCGTCTACGCGGATCCCAGATGTGGAGGATCATGTACCTTCCCTGTTGGACCTTCTGTTGACCTCTCATCCGAACGGATATCAGGTCTCCGTCGATGCCCCTCTGGCGTCTTCGGACCATTGTCTGATCCGGAGTGCGGTGCCACTCACACTCCCATCGCAGTTGCGATCTGCAGCTTGCCGCCGTGTTTGGCACTATAGGTCGGCCGATTGGAAGAGGATGCGGTCTCTTTTTGCATCCTACCCTTGGGTCCCCAAGGGTAGGATGCAAAAAGAGACCGGTTTGCTTCTCGCCAGAAGATCCCAGCGTTGTTGCCGATTCTGTTGCTGATGTGGTACTTCAGGGTATGGAACTTTTTATTCCATCCTCTGTGATGGTCATCGGAGGCAGATCCCAGCCATGGTTTGGTCGCTCCTGTAAAATAGCATCACGCTGTAAGCAGGAGTGCTACCGGGCCTGGGTCGACGCATCAACGTCTCGGGATGTAAACACCAGCGCTCTAAAAAGAAGTATAATCCCGCCTCCAGGTCCTTTAAAAGCGTCATTGCCAAGGCAAGTTCTGAGCACATCAGCAGCAGTTCGCCTTCCTTCGGGAACCCGAGCATTCTGGTTTCTCGCCAAGGCTGTCCAAGGGAGCTTCTGTCAGCCATCTCTTCTATCTCTGAACAGACAGCTCTCCTTTGCGTCCAACTCGACTCTAGATGACGGGGAGAACACACCGCCGACCATCCCGCGATGTGAGTGCTCCATGCCGGATATGCGGTTTACACAGCCTTCGGTTCCCAAAGCACTCTTCTCCCTGGACGTCAGCAAGTCGAGTGGGCCTGATGGAGTCCCCCCCCCCATTGTGCTGAAGACGTGTGCTCCGGAGTTAGCACCGTTTTTAACGCGTCTTTTCCGGTATTCCTACTCTCAAGGCGTAGTCCGGAATTCATGGTAGACAGTTTTGGTCCACCCGATCCATAAAAAAGGCGACCGCTCAGATCCGTCCAAGTACAGGCCTATCGCCATTACCTCCTTGTTCTCCAAAATAATGGAATCCATTATAAACTGTCAGCTCATGAAGTACCTTCAGGATTCACCAGCTGATTAGTGACCGCCAGTACGGTTTTGTCGGGGTCGATCAGCTGGTGATCTTCTGGTCTACCTGACTCATAGGTGGGCGGAGGCAGTAGTATCCAAGGGGGAGGCATTGGCCGTTAGTTTGGACATAGCGAAGGCCTTCGATCGGGTCTGGCACGAAGCGCTTCTTTCGAAGCTTCCTTCCTATGGGCTTCCCAGTGGATCACCAGTTTCCTTGATGATTGGAGCATCAAGGTCGTAGTAGACGGTGCATGCTTTGATTTCAAGCCTATCAACGCTGGTGTTCCACAAGGGTGCGTGCTATCACCAACGCTGTTTCTCCTGCATATCAATGATATGTTGCACTGGTGATGCCTTATTATCGGCCGTGCCAATATTTCTCAGGAAAACGTCGCCGAGTACCGGGACAAACTTGTGTCTGAAGTCGAGTCTTTGCTGAACAAAGTCTCGGATTGAGGGCGACTAAATCTAGTCCAGTTCAATCCCCAGAAGACATAAGTTTGCGTGCTTACCGCTAAAAAGAACCCCTTTGTCATAACCTCAGTTTCAAGGCACTCCCCTTGCTGCCTCAGCTAGCATCGGAATCCTCGGCGTCGACATATCGAATAGTGTGCAGTTTCGTGTTCACTTGGAAGGGAAGGCCAAATTGGCCTCAAAAAGCTTGGCGTGCTCATCAGCGCGAGACAGTATGTCATGCCAGCACATCGCTTGCAAGTTTACAAAACGCAAGTTCGGCCTCACATGGAATAATGTTCTCATCTCTGGGCCTGGGCACCCCAGTGGCAGCTCCTTCCACTTGACCGCATCTAGCGCAGAGCGGTTCGAATCGTGGACGACCGAGTTTTTTCTGATTGGCTCGATACACTGGTACTGCGTAGGGATGTTGCATACCTTTGCATATTCTATCGACTTTACCACGGGGAGTGCTCTGAGGAATTGTTCGGATTAATTCCAGCCGCCACACGAGAGCACATCGCGTCAAAATTCACAATACCATCGTCACCATCTGGATGTTTGGCGGTCCACGACTGTGCGTTTTACTAGGAGTTTTCTTCCTCGTATAACTTCTCTGTGGAATTGTTTACCACCGGAGATTTTTCCGGACCGATACGATTTAGGGACCTTCAAGAAAAGTGCTTACACTTTTCTAAAAGGTCGGCAACGCATCTTAGTTCCCCTGGTGTTGCGTTTGTTCATGGGGGGCGGTAGTCACTTACCATCAGGTGTGCCGCAAGCTCGTTTGCCCCCTCTTCTATAAAAAAAATTTGCAAAGAGAAGAAACAGGTGAGGATAGTTCTTAGCCAGACAAAGACTCCTAGGCAGTATAGTGATCCTACCCACCTATGAATGAGTTCGTACCTAATCAATCTGATTTACTTTTTTAATAGTGATAAGAGAAGTGTGGTTTGTAATGGATGCTATACATACACAATCCAGTTTACCGTCCGGTTTGCAACACGCTTGAAGCGGCGTCCAGTTTTTATAGACCACTCACTTTCGCCGTAAAGTTTGCATGATGCCGCACTAGTTGAAACCATGGCTTCTCTCGCTTATAGCTCCGATTAACGTCTAGCATAATTGATCGCTCATACGTACGTTAATGCCGTTAGTATTCAAGACACGCAAGCTTGATTATTAAGTCGGCAGAATCGGAATAAAACATTGCTTTAAGTGGACTTATGCACACTTATAGCCATACACTGTCTTACCGGACGCCGCTTCAAGCGCGCTGCAAAATTGACAATAAACTGGATCGTGTATTGGATGCCTAAGACAATGTTGTGACCAAGAATAAAAAGAAACAATGCTTCGGTAGCTTGGGCATGTACGATAAATTAATGAGGAAAGGGTTACAAAACAAAACGCTGCAGAAGTGAGTGGCAGTCTGTAAGGGACTCTTGACGAAATTTTGTCGATCAAACTGGTGACCTATTTAAAGGTTGGCCTAATTTAAATAAAAAGATCAATTTTATCATTCGCACCATATTATATTTTCAATCTTTTTTTACACTAACATACAATCATGTATGAACATACTTATATATAAACTTAACCTAATACGGTCTATCACTCACATATACCACATAACAAAATGCGACACTGATAGGAAGACCCTAACGAAAATAATTGTGTATTACAATGCTGTTTTGAAATAAAAAATAAACTTATAATCAAATCATATACTATCAGGATTTTTCACTTCAACCATTCTGCAGTTGATACATCTACAGTCTTTGCACACAGGAGGTATTTCTGGTTTCAAGTAATATTTCTTATAAATTTAAGTTAGTTTCCTGACGTCTCTGTTTTTAACCAAAAAAATTTGATAATAGCACAAATAGGCATAACAATTTACCTACTAACACATATACACGATTATTTTTGAAATGACAAATTTTTTTAATAAAAAAAATCGTTGCGTCATTACCACAGGAATAAAGAAAATTGGTAACAAAGTGACAAGTGATAACCCCGTAGTGGAGGTGTAAGAATATCCACTAGCCCATATCGTCCCAAGGGAATCGCAAAAGGCGACAGAAGGAAAATAAAACAGGAGATGGGCAGGAACCGAGCGACCCTTATGAACGTGTGCGTGCGTAGTAAAATAGTAGGCATCAGATATTTATGAATGACAAATAGTAAAAATTATGATTTTAAACGCATTCCGAATTTAAAAGAGAAAAAGACAATGTTTGATTTTTCTTTCACCATTCGCCTATATTACCTATTCTAAACCTCTGCAAATTTGAGCATAGTTTTGCAAAATAACCCTGTGTACTATTAGTATTTATACATTTCATTTCAATCATTCTGCAGTTAACATCTAGGTCTAGGGTCTTAACACACTGGAGGTATTTCTGGTTTTAACAATTTTATTTTTGTTAGTTTCCTCATATTCCAGTGTGTTAAACACGAGTTTGATAATAGCATAAAAAAACCACATCAATTTACCTACCTATATGACATACTTAGGCATTGTATGATTCTGAATTTGAGCTTGTATTTTGAAAAAAATATTTTCTACTCTCTCACATTTAAAATCTTGTATTGACGAGAGTACAAAAATAACTATTTCTTAAAAAGCATTGTAAAAACATTTCATTGTCAATTTATTAAAGCTACGTCTTCTTCGGTGGTGGCCTAAACACACCAACAACAACAGCATGATCTCTTTCATAAGGTTCTAACGTCAACTGCTCCTGAGGTTTGAGTTTGTCAGCTTGCAATTTTTTGACTTCCGCTGCAAATACTGCTTCAGGCTGTGCCGTGGAGTCTATGCATGATGCCTGAAATAGTTTCGAGCGTGAGCAATTGTGAAATTTAACTTACTTATATGCATGGAATTAAAGTAAATCCTCAGTGAGAGAGTTCAATTCTTTCAACATGAAAGATTTAGATGGTTTTTTGTCATCACGGGAAAATAAATAACAAAGTTAACAAAATGAAATAAAGTTAATATTATAACTACAAAAATATTGATAGCAGAGAATTACAAATGCTAAATTAATTGCTTTTTTTTATAGGATAGGGTGACAAACAAGCACACAGTCCACCTGATGGTAAGTGATGGCTATGACCCATAGACATCTACATCTATCCTAAAGAATCAAAATGCAGATGCATTGTCACCTGTGATGTCTAAGATACAATAATGCCTCTTTTCCAGGTCTTTGATTCTTTACACTCACCATACGAAACATCAGCATTAAGCTGTGAGAGTGTGGTCCTTCCCCGGTCGAGCCGACACATTCGTGCTACAACTATACTACTTACTAATATAGCTGCAGCATGGCTCTACCATGTATATTTGTATATTGTGTTGTTTCAATATGCAGAAGTCATAATATTAAAATATATAGCTCTAAAAATGAAATATGTAGTAGAATTTATTTGGAGTATAGTGGTAGCAAATATATCCTGCATATTTAGTATTCTTATTTAATATAGCCTATTATCCCATATCATCTCGTGGGTGTCATAAGAGGCTACATAGGAAAGCTATAATGGAATATTGGTAGCAGCATATTCCTGATATTAGTTCAAAATAATAATGAACTGTTTGCTAACCAACTGTAAAGCGTGGCAACTATGTTCAGCAGTGGGCTTTGGATATGTTGTAATATATGAATGTAGAGTCGACAATCACACACCATCATCAGCATCATTACAGCCCTTCACAAGTTCACGGCTGAACATAGACCTCCCCCAAGGAACAAGTCACACACCAATAACTTTTTAAAAACAGCTGTAAGTTCCTGGCTCTTGATGAAGGTGAACCTGTATATCGGTGAGCCAGTGCCTTCTTCCAAAATAAATGTACAAACAAGGTAGAAATTGGTATGACAAATATTCCCTTTATGAGGCAATCTGTGCCTTATTAACTTCACACTGTGCATTTACGTGTATTGTGTAGACCATAAATAAAATAAAATAGAGCAATTTTATATTTAATTTTAAAGAAAGTGTTAATTTTATGTTATCACTGGATTTTAAATGCAAGTTAATCAGAAGAATCTAAGTTACAACTTACAGTATTGTTGTTACGCACATAGTAAAGGGAAAATTTTTCAAACTTACCTTGATTGATATTACGAAATGTCCTCCATTCTTTAAAAAGTGCTGTGCATTCAAACTGACAATTCTAGCTTGGTCAGGCTGCGCTACATCCGCAAATATTGTGTCTACCATGCCCACTAACATTCTGCAAGAGATATATACAAATTATGAATACTCAATAATATATTATAATCAATCTCTAGTGGTATTATAACTTTATCAGAGAGAGAGTTCAAATTTTATCCACATGAAAGATTTAGTTCATAGGATTTTCATCATCATCAAATAATTTTAGTTAGAATTAACAAGTGCTATGTAGTGGCTGTGTAAAAATCCATTACCCGATATCATCCCATAGATGTCATTAACGACGATAGAGGAAAAATGGAGATGAGTGAAATAGCCTCTTCAACATAACTCAAAATAATAAAATACTGCAGAAGTCAACCTCTGCCAAATGTGACAAATATCCTAATCAAACATTACAAGAATAAGATGCCTAACGTAAGAAAGTAATAGTTACCTAATTTCAAGAAATAACTTTAAACGTCGTAGAGCCATGCTGCAGCAATATGAAGTGTATAGTTGTAGTACAAATGGGTCAACTCGACCGGGGAAGGACCACACTCTCACAGAATACCAGCATAAAACAGCAGCTTAATGCTGCTATTTCGTATGATGAACTGTAGAGAACCAGAGACCCTATTTACTGGTAAAGAGGCATTCCATCTAAGTCCTCACGGCTGACAACATATCTGCATTGCGTATAGATTGTAGATGTCTATTGGCCACAGCAACCACTTACCATCAGGTGGATTGTGTGCTCGTTTGTCACTCTTATCCTACAAAAAAAAATGTTTAAAATAAATCTTTTTGAAGTGAAACTTCCTTATCGACATAGTGGAGATATTTAGTAGTATTGAAAGTAAAAAAAAAATTATGTATTCTTGTAATGTTTCACCGCCCGGCTGCAAGAATTTATTATTATTGAACCTACATAATGTAAAATATAAAATAAAAGAAGAATGATATGTCGTAAAGAAGTTTCATTTTGTATGGGTGTACACAATTAGATGCACAATTTTTTATCTTACTAAATGAACTGTATTGATTTCTTTCATACCTGTATTTCAATGGATGCCTTGCATCTTCTATGATAGGAATGATATTTGTTCTCTTCTTGGCAACATTTATTAAATCACGGCCAGATCTGTGCGAGAACTCTACTGCATACACCAAACCTTCCTGCAAAGAGAGTTTCTATTAAAGACCTTTTCACATATTTACTATACAATCTATAGTTTTCATTGTAATCAGTTTAGTGGGTAGTGATTGTATAGTCTTCACGGTTAGGTCTGATATTGTCTGTTTCATCATTTAGCATCTATACAAATAAATAAAATTGAAGTTTTTGTTTGTAATGTTAAAATAACAGCTTTTTACTAAATGCGTAGGGAAAGTATGTACGGTACTAATAACAAAAAAAATACTATTTTTAAAATTTTTGTGTGGGTACTAATAACAAAAAAAATACTATTTTTAAAATTTTTGTGTGTCTGTCTGTTTATTCGAAACGACTGGACCGATTTTGACAGGACTTTCACTGGCTGATAGCTGATGTTATATGGAGTAACTTAGGATACTTTTATTTTAGAAAAAGAATTAGGGTTCTGCGCAAATAATTAAAATCCATGAAATCGTAGTAAGTTCCACGCAGGCGAAGTCGCGGGGGACAGCTAGTTATTAAATAAAGACATAAAAATTCGTTAATATAAAAGGTTAGATATGGGTTATGTTGTCTAACAATTAACAGACTTGAAATAACTTAAAAAATAATGGCATTACTTAAAGAAAAAAAAACAATATAAAACAAATCAGTGATCATCAGAAATTTACATAGGACTGCTGTGAAAGTTATTATTAGGTAAGTTAGATATAAGTTGTGCGGCCAGTCTTAAAGTAGACTAGCCTTCTGCTCAGGAGAGGAGTGTATGTGCAAACACAGATGCACTCTCTTGCCTCACTCTCATAATCCGATGGGATTTTTTTTTATATATGATAGTAATTCGATAGAACCAGAGAAATTAGGCACAGTACCAACAGCTTTTTTAGCGTGTTTTCCGAGGCAGCTGGGCGAGACATCGCCAACTTCGTGACTCCAGGCTGTTACTGAGAACTTCTTGCCTTTTATTAACAAAAAAAAAACGTTACCCCTACACTAGGATTTTCTCCTAGTGTCGTGGAGGCAGTTTACAAACATAAATTGCACAAGGACAAACATCCATACCCAGAACAATTATTTGTAGACCATACATATACTTGCCCCATGCGGGATTCGAACCCGCGGCCCCCAGCGCAGCAACTGATTGCTAAGCCACGGCGTCACGGAGCCGTCAAACACAACATTGAAACACAATTACTGATTTTAGCCTGACCTGGGATTCAAATCTGGGAATTCATGATAAGCAATTGCAGTAATGACTACTAAACCAATGAGGCAGTCAAGACCATAATATATACTACAATTAATAAAAATGCTTAATTTAAACTTACTGGTCCAACAATATCAGAGACGTGGCTCACAGTGGTTCCACTAGCAGCTCCCAGATACAGTACCCGAGAGCCTGGTGGCATGTGAATAGCGTCAACTCCACCCATGATTGCAGCAGCCAACTTTGATCTGAACGGATTCCATACTCTGTATTCCACCTTTTCTCCTTCGGTCTGGAATTAAAGCTTTCTGTTGAACTTTGTTTAAATTCATTGAATTTTAGGTGGGATAGACGAGAGATAAGAAGTGGGTATGTGGATATGGTCTTCATGGATAGGTCCAGATTAGAGGGACCACAATCATCATGTCAATTTATAAACAATGTTGTCTTCTCCACAGGTATGGTTACAATGTGAACAAAATAAGAATATGAAAAACTGCCATATTGTCACAATTTAGCTGTTAACATAAAACCGGTTAAGTAGGGTGACCAAAACATATTTTTGATATATTTATTACAAAAGAGTCATGACTCTTATATTTCATGTTTATTTTCTTTATTTTATAGAATAAGGGTGAAAAACCAGCACAGTTCACCTGAAAGTGGATACTGTGGCCCATAAACATCTACAGCTATCTTCGATTAAGTAAAAACTGTTTCCAGTTTTCTACACTCACCATACGAAACACAGCAGCATTGAGCTGCTATTTTGTGAGTGACGTCCTTTCCCGGTCAAGCCGACCGCGATTCGTGCTACAATCATAATATAGCTGCAGCATGGCTTTACCAAGTAAAAAATGTATGCATAACAATTCCCCTCTTGACCATACATTCATTAAGATTTCTACTCTTATCTTGAGTACATTTTTAAAGAAATTATTTTCACTTCCAACTTTTTTAAAACCATTTAACGAAATAATTAAAAAATCAGTGACAAAGCCCTTTCTTATCTATGAATAAAGAAATGCTGTATGTAAATATATTATTTTATAAAACTTTACTTTTCAATAATAAGAAATACAAACCTCAACTGATATTCTCTTCTCACCATAAACCTCTGAACCAGGCACCAAATTTTTTGTAACCAGTGCATCTTCTTTGCCTCTCGCTATGAACACTCCAGCATGTCTACAAGTGAATTACATATTTAGTAAAATAATTTTTATAAGCTTAACATTATATAAATGAGAATTTAGATCAGAACAGACAAATGTCTTCAAGCATTTGCTTTCAGAAGAACGAAAGTTATTTTTTTAATTCATCATTTAAATTACCAACAAAGTAATGCCTTAGTGTTACTATCCATAAGTTAGCCCCAACAAATATCTTTGTTAGCAAGCTTTTTATCTAGACATTTCTAAAAAAGGATAATAAGTAAATCCCACTATTTTGTATGTAAGCAATCAATTATAGCAGAACTTGTCGAGCAAAATGCTTAAAATATTTACTAAGCAAAAATTGGTAAGTATTATTATACCACTAAAGAGTACATGATTGAGAAGAAACCCTGGGAATGAGGTGATTGCTACCATGCTGTTTCTAAATGTTTAATAATAATTGTATTGATAGCAAGTTAGGCTTCAAAAAAAAATCCCGCTGGGTTTCTTGCTAGTTCTTCCCAGGGCAGAGGTTTTATGCCAAACCAGTGGTAAAAGTTGACTCAATAAGAATGACATATAATCAATATTGAATAAAAATGATTCTAATTCAATATAATTTTAATACCCTTGTGATCAACTCAGTTATTAATTACAAAGGATGTTCATATTACAGATGCAATCCCATCTGGTGACAAGTGAAAGTGTAATTCATATAATTAATAAAAACGGAAACCAAAACTTTTTTATTCACTTTACTTTATAAATAATACTTATTGAAAGTACTCTTTTGTTTAATACCACTGGTTCGGAAAAAATCTTGTCCTGGGAAGAACCAGGAAGAGAAACCCCGTGTGACTAAAAGAACCACCTTACAATCATTACACAATTAACAACACAAAATTAAATAGAAATACCTTGGTAGTGATAACCTTATTTAAAACTGTTATTATCATCCATGATAGGTATACAACCGATATGGCCTATAGCTCATGCTATAATAATTATTCAGTGATTTACACCTCTAAAGACTACACTTTTTCTATAATGAAAAAATATAACATTAATGAACTATTAGCTTATTCACTAAACATACCTGTGTGGCTCAATTATAACTTGCTTTCCTCCCTTGAAGCCACCTCTTTTGCTTGGCCCACCTCGTCCGCGGCCTGCATAATATTTAGCAAATATTAATAACCTTTTTCATATCCTTTATATATTAATTCAGTGATGGAAAAGCATCAGAAGTGGGTATGTGGTATCATAGTCTTCATGAATAGGTCGAGATTAGAGGGACCATTTTATCATCATAGATACAAGATAACATAATATAAATTACCATAAGGATCTTAAAAATAAACAAAGAATTTATAAGCATTATTAACCGACTTCATAAACGAGAAGGTTTTCAATTTGAGTGCTTTTTTTCGTATGTATGTTAAGATATCAATGCAGATTGTGAACCAATTTTGATGATTCTTTTTTTTATTAAATAGGTTTACACTTTAAGGCTGGTCCCATATAAATTTGGAGAAAAAATTTCACCGCTAAGGGTAGCATATAAAATAACTAACTTTTAGCAATTTGTAGTCAGTTTTTACTTTTCTACAGTCTTCAAAAAGGAGGAGGTACTCAATTCGACTGTATGCTTTTTTATGTGTGTTACCTCATAATTTCTCTGGGTGAAACAATTTTGATTATTCTTTTTTTATTTCAAAGCTGGTGATTATCAAGTGGTCCCATATAAATTTGATCAAGGTCTGGCCAATAGTATTTAATTTAAAATTATTCTTAAAAGTTTATTATTATCTTGCACCCCTGACTTTGTACTATTTACTATTTCTGCAATTTGAAAATGTTGGTATAGTACAAAAATGAGGACCTATGAAAATTGTGTTTTACTTTTTATTGATAGCTTAATGTGAGATGTTTAGATTTTAGTCTTCAGGCTGACAACACATCTGCATTCCAATACTTAATCAAAGATATATGTAAATTTCTTCAGGCCACAGTATCAGGTGGATTGTACTTGTTTGTCACCCTTATTCTATAATTAAAAATATAGTATGAATTACCAGTGAATATTCATTAGTTGTTTGGTAAAACATGAATGTGATACATATACTGCTGTTTGGTTCAGAAGTGTATAGAATACCAGTCTAATTATGGGCTTATAAATTTGATCAAGGTCTGGCCAATAGTATTTAATTTAAAATTATTCTTAAAAGTTTATTATTATCTTGCACCCCTGACTTTGTACTATTTACTATTTCTGCAATTTGAAAATGTTGGTATAGTACAAAAATGAGGACCTATGAAAATTGTGTTTTACTTTTTATTGATAGCTTAATGTGAGATGTTTAGATTTTAGTCTTCAGGCTGACAACACATCTGCATTCCAATACTTAATCAAAGATATATGTAAATTTCATCAGGCCACAGTATCAGGTGGATTGTACTTGTTTGTCACCCTTATTCTATAATTAAAAATATAGTATGAATTACCAGTGAATATTCATTAGTTGTTAGGTAAAACATGAATGTGATACATATACTGCTGTTTGGTTCAGAAGTGTATAGAATACCAGTCTAATTATGGGCTGAGAGGCACTCCATCTTAGTCCTCAGGAGTAAAAATGCATCTGTAGACTTCTTTGAAGTTAGCTACAAGCGTCCATGGCCTGCAGAAGCCACTTATAAATATAGGTGGACTGTAAATTTGTTTGACACTTCATTTTTTAAAAAAAAAATTAGTTATTCTGTAAGCGTAGTGTCCTTAGTCATGATAACTTATTAATACTGCACCTATTATAGCCGGCCGACAGAGTATTTTACATGGTAGAGACTAACTCTACCATGTAAAAATAATGGTAATAATATTATAATTGAAATCTACTGTGACATTAATATATATAAAGGATATTATATTACGTTATTACGAAAGTGTTACAAGATAGATTATTACCTCCTCCTCTGCCGCCGAAGCCCCGTCCTCCGCCCCCACCGCGCTTCTCAAACTTTCCTCCGCCGCCGCCGCCCCGACCTCCGCCAAAGCCTCCGCGGCCGCCGCCACCTCCTCCGCGTCCACCACGAAAACCTCCTCCACCACCTCGACCTCCCCCACGGCCGCCACCACGTGGACTGTTGAACTCTGCAATTAATCAATATTTATTAGGTGTCGAAATGCAGCAACGTATAAACAAGTAACAAAAATATATTTCTTTCTTTACAAGAAAGAAGTAGACTAAATAATCTAAAAGGACTTTAGCTAGACTAAATAACCTAAGTGGCACACAATGATCGCAGTCGTGGAAAATAAAATATCCACGTGCACATGCACGTGGTTGATAAATAAATAAATACCTTAATGAGATATAATTACGTTTTGAATAGTGTTAGTATTTAAGTTTTTAAAGGTTAGATATTGCTGAATACATGTGACTAACCTAAAATCGTGTAATTTTAAATATTACTACTTTAATTTACCATGATTGCATAGCTGGATGTTAAAACGAATAAATGAAATAAACACTAAAAAAAAATTCATCCACATGCAATACTTCTATACTCTATACTTTTTTATAAATTCACAATACAAATTTATAACCTAACAAAACACCTAACGCTTAATTGCAACTATAACAATAACTATTAAAAATTCATACCGCTACTTTAAAGGTTCGTTTATGAAATTTAATTTCATTATTATTGTTAATTAACACCAACACGTATCAAAATATGTTACATTTTACACACTAGGCAAAACTTAAACTACCACGTGCTAAACCTAAAATATATCTAGTCACTTACCAGGTTTTCCCATTTCAGGAATTAATCAATACAATAGTTTTCCCAATTAAAAAAAACGCTATTCCTATCTATAAACAAAAATAAATTTTAAGTTTTTCATAAAACGACGCAAACCATCGCGCCCGCGCCGTGTTGCCTCCGCCGGAAATGAAGACATTTTGTTAAATCTTCAATTTCAAAATGTTCAATGACTTGAAGCGAGCACAGTATTGCCATTGCAAAAATCTGAATTGCCGTATGTTACAGTCTGGTTTGCGTTAATTTAAGGAAAAAATTACTAATTTTTAATTATTTGTTTTAAAAATGTCTATTCCTCATTTGTTTCTTCTCCGTAAAGGTTCTTGTCGTTTCTATCATTTTTATCTTGTGAGTATTTGTCCTTGATTTTTGTTACAAACTACTTACTCTAAATATTTTATTTACATATTTTTTGTTATTCATTACATAATTTTTTGTGCCTTTTAGTTAAATGGTAAATGTTTAATAAAATAAAAAGTTTAATTTTTTTTAAATTATCTAATAGAAATCATTCACATGATATAATATACAATCTCGCACACGTTTTAATATATCTATAAATACTAACTGTAGTTCTAATATAGCTTGATTAGAATGACTGCTGTCATTAAAAGTGACAGCATAACTTTGTAGTAGCGTCCAACTATGGAGTGTAGAGTACAAGGAGAACCATCTTATAAGGGGCACAAGTTGAAAAAGTGTCCTACTATTTACTGAAAATAGAGGTTCCAAAACTTACCCCAATAGCGCTGGCGTCTGAAAAACTACGATATGAACATAGCTGTTGTAAACGGAGTGAAGTCAGTTGAATTCAAATATTTAAAAAAATTCATGACAAGAGTAGGTAGTAAAATGCCAGTATACAAAATTTCAACTATTTACGTAGTACAAAACCAAGCGGATCGGTCCGTTCATGTTTATTTCTCCATCTTATTCTAATTACTTCTGAGCTTCTGACGCTTTTTTATAAAGTTATCCTATGCTACTGCAGCGCCACCCTTATTGGACGCATTTTTAGGGACACTTTTCATATATAGAGATAGTCCTCCTTCTCTCTAAAACCGAATTTGAAGAACTCTCATCAAAAATGTTGTTCACTCGCCAGAAATTAATGATATTTCGTTTTCCAATATTAATCATATCACTCGTTACCTTGGACGTATGAAGATCTACACTTCATATGTCCAACGTAACGAGTGATTACTATATATGTATAACACGCAATAAGATGAAGACCTTCCTTGCTCTCTAGATTGGCATTGCCGCTGTCGCGTGTGTAGCCATACAACATTCAAATAACATTCTTTCTGCGGTTCTGACTTGTACTCATACGTGTGCTCTTTGCGAAAGTCGCAACGAACTGAACGAAATTGGCCCAGTTGCGCTACACACGCAACATCGGCAGGGCCGATCTAGGGAGCAAGGAAGGTCTTGCGCTCCTGCAGTGTTGCAAAAGTGAAAAATAAAAAATCGGTAGATTTGCCAGCCAAAAATCTGGCGAAATCGGGAGATTTTATTTACATCCATGGGTGTAGAAATGTATCATAAAACGTTTTTTTAGATGTCGTTCTTTTTCGTTTCATTTTTTTTTGCGATCAAAATAATGTCTTTATAATTTAAACTAAAATTTTATGATTATATATTTTTGCTACTCACGCATCTCCAAAATTCTTCTGTTTCTTCACTGAGTGATTTAATTTCTTTCGTATTTAGAAGCAAACGCCATTCTAAATTAATTTTTTGATAACTAATGCTACCTAACAAATTTTGACATAAAGCACAACAGTTCTCAACAAAACAGAAGAAGGCTAGTAATTAGTGAATGTAATTGTATGAACGAACAACATTATTTATACATGGCCTAAGCTACCTAATTCGTAAAACAACCCGAACAAAGTAATCTTTATGGATCTCCCCCGTACACTTACCAGACAATAATGAACTCTATTTTAAGATGTATCAGTGCAATATGCTTTAACCATACCGCGAAGTTAAAAACCTAATAAGGTTATAGGTATAGGTCCCATAGGACGTGGTGCGAGCAATTTCGGGAAGTCCCCGTACATAGATTTTGTGTTAAAAGTTCATTTTAGTATTCTGATTATTACTTTTTAATTTTATTTATGATTATTATTTTACATTAGTTGAAAATGTAAAAAAATCGGGAGAAACGTTCGCTAAATCGAGATATCGGGAGATACTTATTAAAATCAGTAGATTTCCCGATGAATCGGGAACTTTTGCAACACTGCGCTCATGCCGCCCTGCCGCAGGGCTGACTTAAAAAATTGCCCCTGCTTGCCTACACACATCACAATTAAGGAGGCAATTAAGGGTCATCCCCACTCCTACACCCTAGATTGCCCCTGCGGCAGGCAGGTCAGTAGCCACCTTAATACCCTTAGGCGGGACGTACACTCTCATACTGAACGGCAGGCGTGTGTGTAGAAACAGCTCCGATCAGGCGTGTCACTTTGTAAAAATCTGAGGTATGGAAAATGGTGGCGCGATTTTCAAATTTGTTCGCATTACTCGTGGGGTATTAAGGTTTAAGAGTTTGCAGTGTATATACTCAACTTATTTATTGAACTATAAGATGTGGGGTATTGAGGTTTAAGGGCTTGCGATTTATTTATATGGGGTTTGTAGTAATATGCGATTTATTTCCTAATTTCAGCTATGGAATTCCATACCTTGAAAAACTTGAGGTATGGAGTGCTCCATACCTTCCATAGTGGAAGTGACACCCCTGGCTCCGATATTGCTCCGATCGCTGTGCTCCCTAGATTGCCCCTGCGGCAGGCAGGTCAGTAGCCGCCTTAACGCCTGTTGTCTTGTCATATTAAAAAGTACTCTGTGGTCATGGATTTACATGAGGTTAAAGCTGTAGTATCACTTGTTTTGGCCCTTACTTTGAAGAAAAGGATTCGAAAAAGGCAGTGAGTTAAACAGTGGCCACCTAACAGAGAAATGTACACTCGCTTAAATCTACTAAAATAAATTCAACTAACCGTTGAAACTGACGATTATAAAAACTACTTCAGAGTGGGGAAAAATGTTTCGACGAGTTACTACAAATGATAACTCTATATATTTTTTATTATATTTATATTATTTGTATTATATTTATGTTGGGCATTATTTATTTTATTTGTATCATATTTATGCTGGGGAATCCGTAGCTCTGTTGAAGTTTCCAAAAGTATGATGACATCTTCTTCCAATTGAGGTAACGAAGGTGAATTCGCCGACGGGGACGGGGAACATGTGTCATCGACGTCCAGTTTCATTGAAGGACACAGCGAGACTGATGTGATAGATCACAATCAGCGGACTGTGATCTTGATTTCAAAATATCCAGATATTTTGTGATCAGATGCATCAATCTACTTCGTACATTTTCATTTTCTTCAAAGTAAGGACCAAAACAAGTGATACTACACCTTTAACCTCATGTAAATTCATGACCACAGAGTACTTTTTAATATGACAAGACAACAGACGTTGTCAACGCGGCGGTTACGATACACGGACTGAAGAAATCAAGATTGAACGTGAAATGTTGTGCTGCGATCCCGTGATCTATGATCGCGATCAGAACTGTGTGATTGCAATCTAGATTGAGTGTGTCTGGGCTGCCATACAGGAGAAACACTGTGACTGACGCTCAAACAAACAAAATCAGTGCTGCCAACTCTTAAAAATATTTAATGCTAAATCCATGTTTGTAAAATACCAAAAATATGCTAAAATTTGCGGAATATGCTAAAGAAAACTGCTAACACGATTTTACAAGTTTTATTTTACAAAATGGTACAATATTCACAGACAACAATCTGTCAGTCCGTGATACAAACAAAATATTCAGATCCTCGTCGGTATCTTCTTGGTCAAGTGCCATCGGTGGGTCTAGAGCAGAAGAGGACGCATATACCCCATTTGAAGCTACCTTTCGTAATATTGGATCCAAATCTTACGTATAAAATTGCGCTTAATGTTGTTAAAAACAAACTGTTTCTCAGTTTTGTTTTTACCAAGTTAACTTAGGTGTAACGTGTATTTACGTTTGAATGTGGCAACGTCAGCAACATTGTTGTAAATCCAGCCAGTTCCAAGAAGGGAATGTTTCCTGCAGCGTCCTTGAAGTTCAGGATTTCACACCAAAATTCAGTTATGGATGAAGTACACTGCCACTGTATAGGATCAATGTTTCGCCATTGTGATTTATCGATTTTTGTTGCATCCGTAGTAAACTTTGCGCTATTTCTCTATAATATTCATATGAATGACATATATTATTCTATGACAAATTTCTACTTGTGCCCTACATGTATCCATCTAGCGCCAAGTAACGCCGGCGCTATGCTATAATATGTCAATATCGATGAAACATGACGTGAGAGTGAGACTACGGTTTTCTTTTAGACCAGGAAAATGCTAAAAAATATGCTATATGCTAAATTGACATTTTCAATGTTAAATCAGTCGAAAATATGCCAAATTTAGCCATAAAAATGCTAAATTGGCAGCACTGAACAAAATGGCGTCTCAATGTGTTTAGTGTTACCAATATTAAAAAAGAGCCAGTCATGTTGCAGGCGACATGTGATGTGGACGTACCAAATGTGTTATTAAATTTTGATCATAATCCGAAGTAAAATACCAGCTTGCGTAGTGAAACTGTGTAAAAATAATACTACAAGAAATAAGAAAGATACTGGGATCACATACTATCAGTAAGTATCATACAATTTCGAAATTTCAACATAAAATAACACGAGCCATAAATAAGTTACAAAATATGAATGACGTCATTCATATTTTGTACACACATCACAATTAAGGAGGCAATTAAGGGTCATCCCCACTCCTACACCCTAGATTGCCCCTGCGGCAGGCAGGTCAGTAGTCACCTTTAACGCGGCGGTTACGATACACGGACTAAAGAAATCAATATTGAACGTGAAATGCTGTGGCGCGATCCCGTAATCCGTG